CCCCTGACATCACAGGTCCCCCCTAACATCACAGGTCTCCGGCTGACATCACAGGTCCCCCTGACATCACAGGTCCCCAGATGACATCACAGGTCCCCGGATGGCATCACAGATCCCTGGCTGACATCACAGGTCCCCCCTGACATCACAGGTCCCCCCTGACATCACAGGTCCCCCTAACATCACAGGTCTCCGGCTGACATCACAGGTCCCTGGCTGACATCACAGGTCCCCCCTGACATCACAGGTCCCCCCTAACATCACAGGTCTCCGGCTGACATCACAGGTCCCCCTGACATCACAGGTCCCCCTGATATCACAGGTCCCCCCTGACATCACAGGTCCCCAGATGACATCACAGGTCCCCGGATGGCATCACAGATCCCTGGCTGACATCACAGTCCCCCCTGACATCACAGATCCCTGGCTGACATCACAGGTCCTCAGCTGACATCACAGGTCCCCAGATGACATCACAGGTCCCCGGATGGCATCACAGATCCCTGGCTGACATCACCGGGCCCCAGGTGACATCACAGGCCCCCCTGACATTACAGGGCCCCGGGTGATATCACAGGTCCCTCGCTGACATCACCGGGCCCCAGGTGACATCACAGATCCCTGGCTGACATCACAGGTCCCCCCTGACATCACAGATCCCCAGCTGACAGCTCAGGGCCCCACCCCACTGTTGTCTGTTGATGGTTCCCTGGCCGGCTGGTAGACACCAGGACTCCAGGACTTCCCTTGGTCCGCTGCGGTCCTGACACTGGGTGCATTGGAAATAAACCAGCGGCAGGTGTTCAGTAAACATTTGTGGAACACAGAAAGGATAACAGAACTTCATAAATGCACTGACATCACCTACCACGTACTAGGAACTCAATAAACGCCACTCCCTTCAGGAACTGTTCTCCCTGTCTCTTGGTCAGTGCTGCAGCTCTTCCTGCCTCTCAATACTGCAGCTCTTCCTGTCTCAGTCAATACTGCAGCTCTTCCTGTCTCAGTCAATACTGCAGCTCTTCCTGTCTCTCAATACTGCAGCTCTTCCTGTGTCTCAGTCAATACTGCAGCTCTTCCTGTCTCTCAATACTGCAGCTCTTCCTGTCTCTCAATACTGCAGCTCTTCCTGTCTCAGTCAATACTGCAGCTCTTCCTGTCTCAGTCAATACTGCAGCTCTTCCTGTATCTCAGTCAATACTGCAGCTCTTCCTGTGTCTCAATACTGCAGCTCTTCCTGTGTCTCAGTCAATACTGCAGCTCTTCCTGTGTCTCAGTGCTGCAGCTCTTCCTGTCTCTTGCTCACTGCTGCAGTATCTGCTCTGAAGTTTGTCATGAAACCAGACGTTCGAAGCATGTGGTCTCCTCTTCCACAAAAATCAAACTTCCCTGCGAGCTGACCGTGGGAAGCAGGGCTGAGGCTGGCCACGCACGCTAGCTGGTCGTGGAGAGCAGGGCTGAGGCTGGCTGCAGCCCCAGGAGGTGGCAGTGCTCAGCACCCCTGGTCCAGACTCAACATCGACTACAACCAGGCCACCTAGGCTCCCTGAACTTGGCTTTTCTAAATAACCAGAAAGAAAAATCTTCCTCCTGGGATGCTGTTAGAATTAAATGAGTCGATGTCTACCTCCTAGCCCAGGGCCCAGCTCACAGAGGGAGCTTAGGAAACGCCAGCTGCGCATGATGACTCATTCTCTATTGATGTGAAAGGCAGAGGTCCTTCGAGCCTGCTTTTGTACAGTGTCATTTGTGGTTTTCTCCAGAGCTACAGAGAGCTAATGAAGTTCCAAAATAGTTTGTAATAGCATTAAAAAAAAAGAAGGAGTTGTTTGTTAAAAACAAAACAACAAAAGCAAACCCAGCCCTCTCATCTCAGAAAAGCCCTTTCACTTCCTTAGTATCTTGAGCCCTCTGCGTTTCAGACTTCCTGGTTCTTTTTGCTCTAATAAACAGACAAGTTTGCTGGAAGACACGGTGATTATCCAGGCTGTAGAAATAAACAGGATATCTGCGTGGCCGCCCAGTACTCCCATTCATTCCAAAGATTATTAGGTCCAAAGGTTATTTATATAACATTGCTTCGGTTTTATAAATCAATGATATAGATGCACTTATTTTACAAAACACTATGCATAAAAAGAACTGAAAAATGGCTTGGTACCCGAGGCCTCTCCGCAGGGAGACGAAGCAGCTCTGGAGAGAGAGGGGCAGGGATGCTCGCTCTGGGGAAAAGTCCTGCCTCCCAGAGCCCCGCCCCTTGTGTCCTCTTTCTCCAACTGACCACAGGAGCACTGAGGACATGGTTTTTAAGGTCTCTCAACGGCCCAAAAAGCCACCATCTCTAATGCTCCTTTGGTATCCAAATTTCAATACCTTTTCTTGTTGTCAAGTTTATGAAGAGCCTCTTCACGCATCCACTGAGCTATGTTTAAAGCTAGGGGTCAAGTGACAATCTACACAGAACCGTGTATGTGACAGGGAAAAGACAAAATACCTCTCACTCTCCCTTCAAACAACAACAACAACAAGTATGTTTTAAATAATAATAGCTTAGCCGGGCACCAGTGGCTCATGCCGTAATCCTAGCTACTCAGGAGGCTGAGATCTGAGGATCGCGGTTCAAAGCCAGCCCAGGAGAAAAGTCTGTGAGACTCTTATCTCCAAAAAAAACCACTAGAAAACCAGAAGTGTGCTGTGGCTCAAGCGGTAGAGTACTTGCCTTGAGCTGAAGAGCGCAGGGACAGTGCCCAAGCCCAAAGTTCAAGCCTCACGACTGACCAAAATAATAATAATAATAATAGCTTTTACAAAGTTAATTTCCAAAAATAAATAAATAATGAACTAACACCCAGTTTGATGCTCAAGTCAGAGATCAGGAGATCATGGTTCCAGGGTTATCCCAGCAAACAGAAGTTTGCAGGACTCCATCTCAACCAATGGCTGGGCAAGTAGGTCATTCCTGTGATCCGGTACAGGAGCCGCGCAGGGTTTGGGTGCCATGGTGTGCCCCCGGGGGGCACGGGCCGGAGGATCACAGCCGGTAGCCTCTCCCGAAAATAACCTGCAGGAAAAGGTGCGGGAGGCGCGGCTCAGGGGGCAGAGGCTCCGCCCAGCACACGGGAGGCTCCGCCCAGCACACGGGAGCCGAGTTTTACTCCAGTGCCACCAAACAAGAAAATCCCTTGGTGACCAGAATTTCTACTTCATACAACATTTGATTGTATCATAAAAATATTAAATGAAATGTTTGTCTATTTGAGGTTTTACATTCAATTCTGATTTTTAAAACACTGTGCAGCTAACACTGGACAGCGCTGAGTGTGGCAGTGCGCACGTATA